TTAAAATACCGCCTCCCTTCGGGGAGGCGTGTGTGTGTCACCCTTGGAGTCAGAGGGATCCTTTTGGATTTGTTAGCTTTCCTTTTTACTGTTTCCACAGCAGGGGGACTGTCTACCCCACAGAAGTGACAGTCCAACGAAGAGGCTTCTGTGGTGGTACTGATATCACTGGAGACGTCCAGTGACGTACCTGCAGTTTTTACCTGTGACACTTCATCTTGGGCCCTGCTTTTAACTAGAACAAGGAATCCAGCCTTTGCAGCGGTTCTTCATCCGCAGACTCTGCACGCTCCGTCGTCCTTGTCGCTCGATCGCTTCGTGGTTACAACTTGGAACCTTGGAACTTGGGCTTTTTCTTCGATTTCCTTTCTTCGATTTCCTTTCAAGGTTTCCCTACCTGTACCCTTAGGAAATGGAACCCTAGGCCGGCGTGTGGCACCGCTGTCAAGTCAGTACGCATATCCATGAGTGTGTGTCTGGGTTAGCCCTCATGGTAAAAAATTGGTCCAAAAAACTGGACCAACCCATTGCCATCCTCCTTCCGAAAAAGGCCATGGGAGCGCAAGTTACGTCTCCAGTACGCCCGGCGCTGCCCAAATCGATCCTCATGGCTTGAGTTGATCCGTTCTGCAGAAACATACGGCCCAGAAGTGTTTCATAATTTGTTGGCTTTCACGTTTGGCTTGGCCCGGAAGCAAGCGCTTCAACCACAAAGGCCTTGGAAAGGATTAAAAAGGGGTGCCTATCCATATTAGGGGTGCCCATTATCCACTCACTTAGGGCGAAACACCACCCCGTCTGGTGACTCCTGGCCACCCATCCTTAGCAGTGCCACATCTCCTGAGAACGATGGTTTACCCCGAGCAAAACACGTCCGGAGGGACCAAACTGCTTCGTTTACTGGTGAAGCGTCTCAGTCGGAGATGATGCGGAGACGATGTGCGCCATGGGACCCTGGTCAACCCTGGTCGTTCGCGCCAAATCGATGCCTTCTTGAACGGATGGATCGAGAGAAAGACAGCCAGATGGCCAAGCACCAACAAGGGAAGGGGATCATAAAGGACTTTGGTTTGCAAGACGACCCCTATACATCCTATACCAAAACACCCATGGACAGTCACGACTCCTTTTGACCTGACCAGCTGCTATGGTGGTCTCGTGGCGGCACCTGTCGAGACCTCGCAAGTGTCGCTTGGTGAATCTACCTGAGCAACACATGTTGGGTGTGTAGTTCAAAAGCCACTTTCCCCCAACCAATGGGTATAGACTGGTCCATGTTTCCTCCTTCCAGGGGGGTGGGAACCACAAAGTCTCCGCCCTCATGTGGTGCGTCATGCGTTGTAACCAGCTCGACCGGGGCGATGGACTCGACCCCAACACAGCCACTTCGAGCCTGGTCACTCGGCATCCACTTTACCTGAGCAGATCGCTTTTCGATTTGTTCACCGTTAGACACCCTGCAGCAAACACCAAAAAGGAGCGTGGAGCTTCATTGGAGTCTGCTTCAGATACAAATCGGCTCTTCCTGAAAAAAAAGGAGCTTCAGGAAGACCAGAGCGTTGGCTTGTTCATCCCCCTTTCACCGACCCGTGGGAGGTTCACCGAAGCACGGGGCGGCGCAACAGCACAGGACGAAGGCTTTCATCAGCAGAGCACCCAAAAGGAGTGACTAAGCAGTGACTAAGCATTCTTGCATAGAAGTGGTAAGTGTTTGATGAGTATTGAGGCCTCATGATGCTTCATGGCTGATATCAATTGCATGCCTGGCAGATAAGAGAAGCAAAATGCCTCCATCCTGTTTTCCTTCATCGGTCAGAAGCCCAGCGATCATTCTTTCGTCTCAACATGGTGATCTCTATGCTGCTATGCTTTGCATCCGTGAGACATGTCCGGTTACCCCTCACTCGCACCCCAACAACAAATGAAGTCACTGGTCTCCGGCAATGATACCAAGGCAAACCCTCAAATACCTTGCTGATCCCCCTCAGCTGCAGGGCAAGGGAACAATTCTGCTTCGTTGTGGCCAGTACGTCTTGGGCCTCTCTCAAACGTCTGCATCTACAGAATCTAACATCTAGTCAAACATCCAGTAATTCTCAAACATCTACACGTGAAATGTCCTTATCATTCCACAAATACCAAAGCTTGCCTTTCCCAAGCGTTATCAAGGATGTTCCAGCTTTGTAGGTCACGAAGATTTCCTGATGGAGGACAAGTCCATAAACCCCTGAGTCTCGACGCATTCACTTTGAATTTGGGATCCCCCTTCTAGCAGTTCCCATGTATGAGTTGCAACTCCCAAAGCATGATTTTGGAGGCCAAAAACTGCAGGCACTTGCAAAGCAAACACTGGGCCGTGCTCACGGCCTTCTGGTGAAGTTTCACGCCACCACATCCATCAACCCATCCGAGATGCGCCGTTTCTCCGATGGATCCGATCCCAAAAATGCACAAAAACATACCGAAACCAAGCATTTCGTCGAAGGAGAACCAATTGAAATCACTCATGAGTGCACCGAAAAAGCCAAAAAGAATTGGGGGGAAAGGCCCTGAATGGTTTCACAACAGCTCGGGGCTTTTTCCTCAATAATCATCATGACATGTGAATTACGGTGAGATTGATAAGCTGATCATCTCTTCAAAGTCCAAGACCCAGACCAGCATTCGTTTCGCTCTTCGCTGCCCTGATGCGCACTCCCTGTGGACGCCGCAGTTGCCACGGGCTCGCCTGGTCAAATTCAAACCGGATCCGCGTGCTTCACACGAGAACGCGCGGAGATAAAAAGGGCCCATTCGTGGTGGTCAGTGGTTGGATCACAGCATGCTCCGACAAGGATATCGGATATGTGGTGGAAACCTGGTTGGTGGATGTTGGTGGTAGTTCTAGCAGGTCGTAGCAAGTTGGAGCTTGGACAGTAAAGGGTCATCCGAACGAAAGTTTCCATGCCATCCACGTAACCATGGTGATTTTAGGGAGTGTACCGGGAACCTTTCAAGTCATAGCAGGTGGTAGCCAGTCGGACAAGCAAATGCTTCACATCAAGTTGACTAGTGCTCAGTTGGGAATGAGGGAATGACACCCCAACAAGAGATACCTTAGGATCCATTCCCTGATTCTTTTCCAAGCACGAGTCCACAAGGTGTCAAACATTTTCCACCCAACCAAAGCACAGTTTCGCCTGGGAATCACGAGGCCGAATCGAGAACACCGGGTACCGAATGTTGGGCTTCTGCAGCAAAGGGTTTGCCATGTTAGACCACTGATCATCAAAAAGATTGATCCTTCTTCTTGTTTGGGTGCCAAAAAAGGAGACCCTCCAGAATCACGGAAAAGAATCAATGGCTTCGATCGGTGTCCGTGGACAAAGGCCCGTCGGCGTCATCGCTTTCGATTCGCCACCCAGCGTGCGTCCGGTCTACGGGCGCTGGACTCAAACCGGATCGAAGTATGAACGGATGAGCAACCAAGGGTCCCCTTGTATGGAGAGTTTGAGGCACTCACTGGTCTTAAGGTCACGAACTGCTCGAACTGATTCAGGTCCCAAAAAGGGGTCCGATGAGGTGATCCGAACAGGAATGAGTTCACGCTGAAGCTCCACTGATGCACACAATATAGAATCGAAGATCGGACTTCACTGGAGATTCATAGGGTCACCCTCCCATCGGTGCAACCATGAAACCAATTCCAGCTTCCTGGATAGAGACCTCCCCCTGTCCCTGCAGCGTCTTGGACCACCCCGTGACGGGCCGTGGCGGCTTGGCCCTATCCCAATCAAGCATGCGGTCCATCGGAGTCCGGCATTTCGACGAATCCACCCTGCCTACCCCTTCCAACTCACCGACATGCCAGCACTGGGAAGGAAGGAAGGAAGGAAGGCTATGCCATCAATGTAATGCCTAACAAAGGTGGATCAGATTGTTGATGCTTCAGTTTCCCAGCGAAGCCGGTGGTCTCAATCCGTTTCCCAATCTTCGTCCCCGGCCAAAACCCGAGAATGATCGCACTCGTTTTGCCACGCAGGCGCGCGCGCACTGCTTCTGAGCGAGGGCACGGGCACTAGTTGCCCCAGCCTAAAGAAAGAGCAAAGATCTCATAATGATCTCCAGGAGCTTAACAACCCCTTGCAGGCTTGAAGTGCCCTTTTTTTCTGTTCTGCCCCCATTCGGTCGATGCTAGAGAAACCCCAGAAAAAAGGAGAAGAGGTCTTTCGGGTCCTTTCGGGTCTTCGGGTTGCTGGGAATGGGATCGTCGGGTCCGAACTCAGAGGGCGAGCATGTGTTGTTCAGCGCACGTGCCTAAAACACCGCAGCGCAACAGTCCGTAGGACCTCACACCGCACTGTGAACGGAAGGTCGTCACTCCTGTCCTGAAGATCTTGGCATCGCAGTGACGCACTGAATTTCTTGCATGGTCTCTCCAGAAGACGAGACACGTCAGGGGAACCTCTTCCTTGACTTGATTGGACTGGAAACAGTAGTGGGGAGGAAGAAACACAGCAATCGCCTATCAATGTCCCCTGGCACTTTGACCCATACATATCATGATGTTTATTTGGCTCTCCAAACTCCAAACCGAGTTTCCATAAAACAACTGGTAGACAATCCACTAAAAGCTGATAGATCACCTGTCTCCGAGTTCACCAAATCCAATGAAAACACATAAAAACAAAAACATCATTGGTGAACTGGCAGACCACTGAAACAACCCACAGAGTATTAAGTTTCAACAACGATTGCAGGCTTTTGACCCCTGTATCAACCCTTTCTCCAAGGAAAAAGAGGTTCCCAGTCGCACCTTATCTTCACATCCTAGGCCTAAGCAGATGCTTAGCATCCAAGCACTCCAGCCAGCTTTAACCAAAACCCATCAGGTCTGTCCATCTCTGTGTGTGATCGGAACACGCGTCTCGGCCTGTCCATGGCCTGGATGAAAAACGCCAATCGCATAAGGAAACACAGGCAAACGGCTGGGAACTTGACATCTCCAAGGCCAGACTCTCTCAGTGATTCTCAAACTCTGGCAGGTGAGCATCCGATCCTCGGCATAGCAAGTAGGTGTATTCAGTGCATTCCCCACCAGAAGCACCAGATACCTTAGAGGTTAGGTATCTCCCATTACCAGGGCCCAGTGGATGATGGCGATTCAGATCTTTCTCAAAAACCGTGACAATCTTTCACCGGACTGTTACTTAGCAGGGAACACGCTGGGAAGCTTGCGCCCACACATGTCACGATCGAAAAAGATCAGTCCACGCGCAACGCGCCCTCAAACCACCCCTCCTGCCCCTCAAACCACCAGTTTTTGTCACATGAAGGATGTTGCCCCATGCACCGCCTTCGGCTCTTCGCGCCCTTTTCAGCTCGACCGACCCACGAAGTCCGGGACCCCGGACGTGACTTCGGACGCGTGTGGCGGTGTGCCGTGCACGGACCTTGGTGTCCCACCCGCGGACGGAGTTTGGTGGGTGGTGAAAAGCACCTGTTCTTGAGATTCCAGGACTAGAAGGTCACTTCTATAGGCTGAAATGACACTTCAATAGGCGCAGTGATCTTTCGGTCACTTCTATAGGCCTGTTCTATAGGTCACTCAGACTGCGAGGTCCTGAAATGACAGAGATGGAACTGTTTCCCATAACTCTGGTAGCACAAACCTGCCGGGGCACCGTCATAAGCGATTATATATATAGATAAAGAATTAAAAATATAAATGCATAAAAACAGCTGACTACTAAACCCCGCTACCAGAATGGCTTACATCTCCATATTGGGGGGCTTAATTCATCAACAGTCGACATGAATGCACGCATGATCCTCGAAGTCTCTTGCGGCACATAGCGCCCCACTGATGAAATCGAGTCGAACAGCAAAATGCAGAGCCCACGGTGCTTGGACGATGATGTCGTAAGTTCAGGTTCTCCGCTGTAATCTTCGCACTTCGAAAGTTGCTGCGCAAGTTTGCAGAAAAACAGCATGGACACAGCACTTCATGTGATTTGACGTGCCTACCAAGACACGGCACACATTCCCAGCTTTTGTCTCCATGTGAGTTCATCTGCGGGCGCAAAAGCAGCCTCGTCAGAGGTTTTGACAAAACTGGCGATGGACAATGAAATTGCAGCCACGCTACCAACCAGAGCTTTCTTGTTTGCCGGCAGAATCCTTCACAACTTTGTTCCTTCGTCTCCTGTGGTCAGCGGCACTGGGCTGGAGCCCTTATCATACACAAAGCCCGTGGCGTTTTGATGTTCATGCCGCGCGCACGAAGCAAGCCTCGTCAAGGGTTTTGACAACAAACGGTAGTTATAAGGATGCAAACAAACGACATTTTGCAAACACGCGACTCTTCTCATATGCAATGCCCATGGCGCTTCAACTTGATGCCGCAACTTCAAGTCCCTGCTGTGATCTTCGCCGCGTGATGGCACATTTGCACAAACTTGCCGGCACAAAGTTGGCCTCCT